GGGGTCATAAAGCTAATCCGGATAGGTGGTTCATAAACTTACAACCACAATTCCAAGAAGTTGTAGACGCAATGGAAGTGAATGGTGAACCAGATATAGCTGGTATTTTCAGCGCGGCTTTAATGCCATTGAAAGATATGAAACATGCAGATATTTTGGACCAGTATGAAATGAACATGGCTGATGGAAATATAACACCTGACGTTCTAGAACATTTATCTCAAAGAACTACACAGAACCATAAGATGGTATATTTGGTGAAGAGTTTAGAAAGAAAGTTAGGGAGATAGAAGGAAGAGAACCTATTGTACATGACCTTGCAAACGAAAGTTTGCAAAATGTCATAAAAACTTACTTTGCAGACAATGAACTGAGAAGGGATGAATATTTAAGAAAACTCAAATGGACAGTACCAAATGAAATGTTAGTATTGAAAAACATGTTCCTTGACAAAATAAAACCAACTACAGAAATAAATGACGCAAGACTGAAACATTGGGTAAAAGCTTTCCCATTCACAAAAGATATTATTGGTAACATGGAAAGAAAACCAGAATGGCTACAAAAACATATATTTGGAAACGAGCTTATTCCATATGGACAAGCTCTGTTTGAAGAGCTTGAACCGGAAACTCAGGAAAGAGTCATGCAAACAATACGCGAAGACTCAAATACAAACTATGACAAAATCTTTCTAGGATATAGGTTACCTGAGATGGGCGACCAGAGCCCAAAGGCAAAAAGGACATGGGAAATTTACAACATACTAGGTGAACATGAGGCAAAGATGCAACAACTTGAAGCAGAGGGCAAGTTACCAAAAGCGACACCAAAGAAGAAGAGAAGAGTAGAACAAAGTGAAAATAGTGAAGAAGTAACTTCATCTAGTGAAAGTAGTGGCAATGAAGGAAAAAGAAGAGTTAAAAACTCAGTCAGGAAGAAAGTAAAGCTTGGTCGAGTGGGTTCTATTATGACACATAAATCCAACTATTCTATATTTTTACCCATATGAAATGTACGCCGCTCAGAATATAACGCCAACAGTTTTGGATGCCATGAACGGAAATGTTTCCGAATGGTATAACGAATGCGACAATGCCATTAGAAGGTCAGAAATAGTTCCTGGAACTTACGAATATACAACTGCTGTTTCTTATGGAAACGTAGGTGAGTTTGGAGAAGGTTCTTCAACAACAGTAGATATTGCTTGCGACAGGTTTCATATTATTTCTATTGACAACTCATTCTTATACGTGGAACAAGACATTGAAATAAAACCTTCTGCCAAGTTGTCTGACAAGAAAGGTTGCAATGGAATTTTCTATGTCGGATACCAATATGCTCCAGAAGTTTTCATGGGATATAAGATATATTCTAACTCTGACTTAGTTCAAACAGTAACATGGGCAAACTATGAATGGTTCGCTTTGAGAAACTCAGTACAACCACAAGCTAGAGAACAAACAGACCAGTATGCAAATATTGAGAAAATAAGAAGACTTGACCCTAACGTTCCAGGAGTTTATGTTAACCTTTCTGGTTCAGATGGAACTGCTGCCACTAAAGTAAAACTGAAACTTAGAGTTCCTTTGTCATCTTTCCTCATCTTCAGGTTTTTAAGATACTTGCCAAACTGGGCAGGAAAAATTTCTATTGAACTTACTCCAAGCAAAAATAACTTAGTCATTGCACCAACACAAGACCCATTCAGCTTACTGTAGCTGGAACTGGTGGAGCCAAGTTCTGTGACTTTTGCAAAGACAAAGTTGACTTAGACTTTGGTTTCTCAAACTTCAACAATGAAGTAAACTATTATTTCAATGCTGCTGGAACTGCTTGGGACCCAGTTAAGTTCACATGCGAAAAATTTGAATGCAAGAGAATAGAAAGCAGACTTGCAGTCTATATGTTGGACCCAGATATTTCAAATGCTTTAGCTGCCAAATATATTGCAGTTCCACTTATGTTCCCTATACACCAAATATCTGTCAAAGACTTTGCAGGTGAAGTTGGAAACCAAAGTGCTGACCCAGGTGCAAGAACAGATATTGCTTTAACAACTGCAATGAAACATGCAGATACTATGTTTGTACTGTTCAGACGAACTATAAATGACTATTCTTGTTTCTACAACCCCGGTATTAAATATCATATAAACATAGATGGCAAATATTATCCAAGAGAAGAATATTCTACAGTTGAGGATATGAGGTCATACAACTTGACATTAGATGCTATGAACTTTAACAACAACTTCACAACAACCATTAACCCTGAAATGCAAAGTTCTATTATGCCATATGTGAAAGTATGGACTCATACAGGAGGTCAAAAAACTCAATATACAAATGGAGACCGTTCAAACTTTTGGCTTGGCATTCCATTTGCTGACTCAGAAGACTTTATGGGTGGTATTTCAACTGTTGGTACTGTACAAATACAATATACTGGTGACAGAGACGGTCCAGATGAACTGAGAGCAAAGAAGTTTACAAAACCAATAGCACTTTTCACGGAAGATGCTCTTTTGAAGATTCGTTCGATGAAACCTGCTGGGGCTCCTCAGATTGGCATAACGACAGCTTCCATCGAGCAGATTTTGGCAGCAGGTCAGTAAGTTGTTCTTGAACTGACTTCTCTCCGTCAAATATTGACAGTACGCCAGTTTTGACATAATATTGTAAGATAAACTTACCTTTAGAAATATCTGTAAGTTTTGTTGTTATATTTTTGTCAACGTCAAGAACTTTCACCATTTCAGTTATACCAACTTTCTTTGCTTTATGAAAATATTTGGTTCAGCAAAGACTGCTATTCTATAACATTTACCATTGTTTGTATAAAGAACTATTCTGTCAATGTATTTGTATTGTTTGTGTGTGTAAACTTTGTTCTGCTTCAATTCGAAGAGATACTCGAATACGTCCATCTTTTTATTCTAAGTAAAATGTCATTTCCGAAAAATAGAAGCGTGAGTGTTTCAAAAGGTTTAATGGCGGTGGCAGATGTGAAGTTAAATTCACCAACTCAAACAAACAGTCAAAGTGTTGTTGTCAATGTCAAAGACAGAGATGTTGAAGTGGGGAAACCATACGAAGACGAAGATGGTATAACAATTGTTCCTGTAAAAGAACAACCAACATATCCTGAAGTTAGCAGAGACTTAAGTTCTGTTGCAGATATTCGAAACGACTACCAACAACTGAAAGACAAACTTCAAACTCAGGAGAAGATTTGTCAAGCTTTAGGTATAATGTTAAACTTGGTCGAACACAACCCTGTAAAAGTGAACTCATATGTCATTGCACCTCATGAAGTTTTGAAAGAACTATTGAAACTTTTGACAGAGGCAGACGATATAAACATCAAAGAAATAGAACCCGACATTAGTTGCTGTGGTGTTTCATATAATGTCATTGACAAGATATACGTTATGAAAGGAGGTGAAACGTTGAACTTAAAGTATAGTTTCCCAGACGTTATAAAAATATTTGACGACCACAACATTTCATTAAAATTTATTTGCTAAGTAAATGGCAGAAGATATAATGGTTTATACTATTACGACTAAAAACCCTGAGTCATATAATTCTATAACAACAAACTTACAAAGTCCTCAAGGACGATATTGTAAACTAACCTTAAACACAATGACGACTAAAGCCTGTTTTGCTCTTTTGACACCAGAAGACTTTATTGTTGTGAATGGTAAAAAATACTCCTTTGAAGATACTTACTCAGATATACCACCAACAGGTTTTGTTGACTTATTTAATACTTTAAGTACGGGTGTAACATGTGCTGCAACTAGAGCAGGTTTCATTATGTTTGGATGTCCGACTGAGTTTACTATAAACGATATGAGCTATAATACAAAACTTATTTCTGGTTTTTACTACCAACAGTTTCCTATAACAGGAAAAGGTGTCATACAAGGAATGTCTATTCCATTGACATTAAGCACACCAATCTTATATATTGTTTCAAACTTAGGTTCAAAGTGTTATTCGAATGTCGACAGAAACTATTATGACCAAAAGATACTTATGCGTATAAACAATACTTTCTCTGCTGGTTTGCCTATTGTTCATTCGAATGCAGAATTTTCAACCTTAGTGAACTCAAACACTTTGGCAAGTATAACGTTGACATTAGTTGACGCAAACTTTGTTCCTGTAAAACTTTTATGTCCTATGTATTTGTCAATGACGGCAGAAAGTTTCGAATTGGAAGATGCAACTGGTGAAAGTATTGTATTACAAGAACAACTTCAACAACAAATAGCTCAAGAACAACAAATGCAACAACAAAGTCAAGAATAAAAAAAATATTTTTTTTTATTTTTATAAAAATGTACAGAATAGATGTTTCAGATTTTTATGACTTCCAAGCATTCAGAAATATGTGTCCATTTCGAGACTATAACAAAGCAGTCGAGAATTTGAAACGTTTAGTCATTTATGTCGACTCTGCCCCAGAATGTTATGTTATGAAAGAATGGGATGTAGTCTTTAACAAACCTAAAGCAACAATAGTTTCAGAACAAGAATGTAGACAGAAACTTAAGAAAATAAAAGTCGTACAAGTTGGCATGAAGATGTTAGATGCTTGGGATATCTTATTGTCAAAGTTAGAAGATTTTTCAGTTCGAGGTATAAAGTTCTATACACCTTCTCCAAACTTCTATTCTATCTTCACTGGATATAAATACGAACAAGTAGAATGGAAAGAAAATATTATAGAAGCTTGGTTAGACCATGTCAAAGAAATTATATGCAATGGAAACGAAAGAGTCTATGAGTATATCTTATGTTGGTTTGCAAACATCTTACAACATCCAAGTGCTAAAAATGAAACTGCTCTCATTATAATTGGAAAACAAGGAACAGGTAAGAATACTTTCTTTACAGATATTATGCAAACTGTTAGAGGGCTATTCGAATCCGAATATGACAAACTTAGAAAACATCTGTGGCAAGTTTAACTCCTCAATAGAGAATATGAAACTTATAGTTTGCAATGAACTTCAAAGTATAGATACAACAAAAGTTTTGAACTCAGATGCTTTGAAGAGTCTTATAACAGACAAAGTTGGAGTTGTTGAAAGAAAGTATAAAGACCAAAGAGTTTGTGAAAATGTTGCAAACTTCATTATGGTTTCAAACAATGCTGTTCCGATGAAGTTAGAAAGTTCTGACAGAAGATATGTAGTTGTCAGAACGTCAGAAGCTCATATGCAAGATACAGAATATTTTGACGACTTAGCAGAAACTTTGACATCTGACTTTTACAACCACTTGTTCTCATATTTTATGACATTAGATATTTCAAAGTTCAATCCAAGACAAATTCCACATACCGAAGAGAGACAAACATTGTTAGAAGCAAACAAGAGTGTATATGAACTGTTCATAGATGAAACTGACTTTGAGTGTTTAGATGAAAGGTCATTGTACGATTCGTATAAACAATATTGTCAAGAATATGGTTATATGACAGCGTCTAAACGAACATTCTTGGCAAATGTCAAAAGTCTTTTAGACGTACAGAAAGGTGTATATACAAAGAAAAATTTTTATGAGTAAATTTTAAAAAAAATATTTTTTTTATCCGATAGAAAAGATGGCAAAATTCATCTCAGTAAACAAGTACATGTCAGGACTTAAAGAAGAACTAGACCCATTCACATATTTGAATGTTTACTTCTACCATTTTGAAAAGTCTTCATTCAGCAAAGTTTGGAACATCGAACCAGTTAAGTTTGCTATTGTGACTAAAAATGGTGCGAAATTTGAAGACTTAGACATAGAAGGTTTGTTAGCAGTCAAAGAAAGTTTTGACAGAAGGTTTTCAAACCTTAAAGAAGGCAAAGCATACAAACTTGTTATACCTTATGAACCAAAGAAAGCAGACGACTATGAATATTATGAGTCTAAAGTTGTAGAAGTTCAAGGTAAATTGGGTAAAAAGATTTTAGAGTCTAAGCCAGTGTTTGCTCCTAAAGAGGAAGAGAACATTGACATTGACCCAGAAATGTTCTAAAAATAAAATTTTATTTTTACATGTCAAATTTCTTTTTCTCTGGAACTGGTTCAGGTTCTTTCTTCTCTTCTTCTACTTTCTTTTCTTTCTTTTCTTTCTTTTCTTTCTTCTTCTTTTCTGGTGGAGTTATGTCAAATTTGGCGCAACTATATTTATGTAAAAGTTCTTTGTCCTTTAATAGCTCTTCTATTCTGTTTTCTATTTCATCTTCAAGAACAGCGCATGTGTCTTCTTTGCATTCTAAGAAGTTTTGTTGGACTTCATCTTTCCAAGAGGCGTCATCTCTGTCAACAAGTCTGTCATTGACAAATTTTAAGACTTCTCTGCTTAATGTTTTATGGTTCTTGTCATATTCCCAGAAACAGAACTTTAGAACAAATTCACCTTTCTTGTTTACACTATGTAAGATTTTATGGTCGACAGATGTTTTGCTGTCGAAAAGCTTGTCTCGAATATAGATAGCGAAATCGCTAGACATTTTCTAAAAGATAAAAATTTTAATTTTTCTAAAAATATGTTAGAAAAAAAGTTTGCTGACATTGACAAGAAATTTGAGAATGTTTTAAACAAGAACAAGAGGAAGTTAGAAAATGCTCAGATAAAGCCTATACATGACAAGTTCTTATTTGCTCAGAATGGTATAACAGGTCTAATTGCACCACCTGGGTCGGGTAAGACTTTCACTTATCTTAAAATGGCTGCACAACAACAAGAACTAGATGAGAAGAACCCATTCTATGAGTTAGTTGTCATTTGTAGTACTTCTGGTCAATTTGACCAAACCGTCAATTCGTTCAAAGATATTATAAAGAAGTCTAAGTTAGTATGTATAAAAGACTCTGAGTTGTTAGATTGGATAAAGAAGTACCAAAGAAGAGTTTTGAAGTATAATGCTATAAATGAGTATATAAATTCTAAGTTCAAAGACCCAAATGAGGAAATGCAGAGAATATTAGAGAAGAAACACTTCAGAAACAAACAGAAAGAGATAGAATACATTTCGAAGAAATTGCAATCTTACGATTGGAAGACTTACCCTCATAGTGTCTTCTTATCTTAGATGACTTTGCTTCTCATCCTTTGTTAAAGAACAGAGAACAAGACATGTGTCGAATTCTTAAGAAGCTCAGACACTTTAACATCTCAGTTGTCATTTGTGTACAGACAGCAAAGAGTTTAAGTAAGGATGTAAAGAGAATACTTACTGACATTGTACTTTTCCCCGGATTGTCCGAAGACGATTTCATGGAACTTATGAAAGAGTCCATGGCAGGTAAGTTTGACAGATATGAACTATGGGAGAAGTACAAAGTCATACAAGACCCTCATACTTCTTTCAGAATTCATATCTACGCAAACAAAGTTCAAATTGTAAAAAGTCAAGCTTGAAAAATAAAGAGTTCATTTACTCTGCTTGTTTGAAGTTGTCAAAATACTCTGTTATTTTTCACTGTTTTCATAGAGTTTTGGCGACCCCGAAAAAAGTCGGTCTCGCTGTTCTTCACTGTTTTCATAGAGTTTTGGCGACTACGTTTTTTTACGTACTCGCTGTTCTTCACTGTTTTCATAGAGTTTTGGCGACTAAGGTTTTTTACCTACTCGCTGTTTTCTCACCTGTTTTCTCACCTCTTTTTTTCACAACCGTTTTACATGGTAAACGTTATTTTTACATTATGACACGAAGTGAAGATTTGCACTTCGTCAAATTTTATAAAAAATTAGCGTTATTTTTACATTATGACACGAAGTGAAGATTTGCACTTCGTCAAATTTTATAAAAAATTAGCGTTATTTTTACATTATGACACGAAGTGAAGATTTGCACTTCGTCAAATTTTATAAAAAATTAGCGTTATTTTTTCTATCTTGTATAAAAGACCAAAAATAAACGCTTTACATGTATTTTTCAGCAACTTCGTCAAATAATTTTATAGCTTTATCTATCTCATCTACTTCAAACGTTTCTTTACCTTTCGTGGGAGCACCATACATTTTCTCAAAAACTTCAAGCAGTTCTGTTTCAGCAGCTCTCATATCATTAACGAACACAACCTTGACTCTATTGACTGTAGAGTCATATCTTAGAGTTATATTATATGTTCTTCCTATCTTATATCTCTTTGTATTGAAGTCCTTCGGTTTCTGAACGATGTAAAGTAAGCCTTCACTGCAACGTTCCGTATCGAATGAACCATATGTTATGAAGTTATATCCAACAACTGGGTCAATCCATAACAAAACTATTGGTATAAGACTTTTGTCGATGAGATATGCTGTAGTTCCATAGAATCTTACCGATATCATAAGCTCAGGATTTCTTGTCAAAATTTTCTGACTAGAAGCAATTCTAACCCAGTCCTTTGTTTTCTTTCCAGATGGAGATATAATGTCTGACAAAGAATATTTGTTGTATTTCTTTGAGTATCTTACGTTTAAATCACCTATTCTAACCAATTTGGTGTCATTGTCTATCTTTTTAACTGTTTCAAACTCAATGTTTGTCATTTCTGTTCTTACATACAAAATAAAAAAATAAATAAAAATAAAACTAACTTTATTTTTTCTGTCTTAAGGAAATTCATGAAAAAGTGTCATTTTTTTCATGTCCGAAGACTCGAAGGTGCAACACTTCCAAAATACCGACGAACTCAGAAGAGCAGCATGGCAGTATCTTCTTGACAACTTCTTTGAGTTCTCCAGGTACACCTTGGAAAATGCTGAAGAACTCCGACACAGAGAATTTGGAGAAATTGCACTCCAATACTACCTTGACAAACAAAGGGTAAACAAAGGGTAAAATAAGACTAAAAACTTAACGTTTAAAAAGTGACATTTTTATGAGCTCCGAGTCACCGAGAAAACTTGGTCAGATGTTAGCAGCTTACTTCCCTGAGGAGGATGGAAGCGTTACATACGTAAGGTTCAAAAACAACGAACCTGGAATTGCGTACAAAATTCGCAATTACATGACCATGGAAGAGTACGAAAGGTTCCTACAAGAGAAACCAGCTCTAAACAACTCAGAAAAGAAAGAATAAAAAGTTTAACTCGTAATTGTTTATTTTTTTTACTTGTATGGGCAAGCTGCAAGAATGAAGTCGACTATCTCAGTCTTTGTTTTGACGAGCTGGACGGCTCTTGCGAGTACGTCTGTTTTGCGGTCTCCAGCTGGTGTCTGACCTTCGTAATTGCGCATGTTCTTGAGAGCTCCAACTGTAAATGATTGTAGGATGAAGAGTCTCTCAGACTGCTTGAGGTAGTCGTCACGGTCACGAACTGAATCTGTGGTACGAGTCGAATCGGTCGATTTGAGGGAAGAGACTGAAAGCCTGTCGTCTTCCATCGGGGCTGTGGCATAATCTTTGCGTAAGCGGTTCAGACCTTCTTCGAACTCTTGGTCTCTCTTCGATTTGGATTGAGATTGGAATTGCTGGGGTGGAGCTTGCTGGAACATCCAAGGGTTGGGGAAGTAAGGCATAGGCTGAGGAGGAGGGTAGTTCGGGAAGCCTTGTGGTGGGTAGTAACCTTGAGGTGGAAATTGGTAGTAACCTTGAGATGGAAATTGGTAGTAATTTGGTGGAGGGACTTGCTGGAACTGAGGTTGCTGAGGAGACTGTTGTGGTTCTGCAGCTTTCGGTTCTTCTGGCTTTGGAAGGCATTCAGGAAGAGGAACGTCAGTCATCCGTTTGTGTCCTGTCGGAAGGAAAAATTTTTCCTGTCGGAAGGAAGAACTTTTTCTGTCGGAAGGAAAAACTTTTTCTGTCGGAAGGAAGAACTTTTTCTGTTGGAAGGAAAAACTTTTTCTGAAGTTCGACCAAAAAGTTCTCAATTTTCGAAAATTTGAATGGTTTACGGACGGACAACTGGAAGAGTTCTTCCTGTCGGAAGGAAAAATTTTTCCCTTTGTCCGGAAAATTTTTTCCAGTTGTCGGGAAAATATTTTCCTGTCGGATGGAAGGACTCGGAATGCCAGAAGGATTTGACGAGGCAATTTACCTAATTGAAATTAACGACTGCGTAAAAGACTACTTGCGCAGGGTAATGAAGCCCAAGGTCAAGTTCACCACTATTTCTGGAAGGTCTACACTTCAGCTCGAGACTTCGACTGGAATTCCAATTCAAATACCAGACGGGACAGCCTACGATGGCATAAAGGACGCCAAAAGAGAAGCTCTTGTTAAGTTCCTAAACAAACGTCCTTGGATAAAAATACCAAACAAGGAGAACCCCCTACCCCATATGAAATTGGCAATTCAGTCTCTCCTTCACTTCTCGGGTCAGCCGTTCTACATAACCTGTGAAGGCGACATCCAACCAGTACTGTAAACCTTAACGTTTAGAGTAAAAACATTTTTTTTTCATTTTTTGAATGAAGCAAGTTAAATTCGTCCCACACCAATCTGAATGGACCGATGAAGAGTTTCAAGCCATCGTTGAAGACGTTGAGAACGACATAGACGGCGAACTTAAAGGAGCTCAAATCACAATTGCAACCAAAATTGCAGAGGTCAAGGAACAGATAGCTCCACTTAAAGCTACCAAAGCTACTCTTGACCTCATGGATAGTTACCGTTTAGATGTCAAGAGTGGAATAAGACAATTAAAATTAAAACTTCTAAACTACGAAGCTATACTCCAAAAGTTAGCAGAAATGAGAAGACTTTACCAGAGCTACTTACATGTAAGGGACTTACCTTCAAGCAGTCCGACCAAAGATGAATTTGTTGACATTGTCCCAATTTTGTCCGAAAGTCAGCTCAGATGTTTCGAACTGCTCCCAACATATCCGGAATATGAACGTTTGCCTGAACTCTTTCGGTTCCTCAAAAAACGTTTTTTGGTTCTCATGTTCCAAACTTTTATCGGAAGAGACAACAAACGTTCAGAAGAAGAACAAGATATTATTTTAAACTTGTTGTATGACATAACTGTCATAACAAGCTTTTTGAAGTAAAACCGCCATTCTCAAACCACTTCATTTTTTCGATGTCCGAACAAGCACCGAAGCCAAACTCAATGGCAGATGTCCTTTCAAGGTTGCCAGAAAAGCGCCCAGTTCAAATTCAAATTGCCCAATTGAACGCTCATCTGTCAAACACCATTAAGACTCTCCAAAGTAGTCTTATGGAAGAGATAACCAATCTCAAAGTCGAAGTCCTCACGAACCAAGCTTCCAATAAGAAAGTCCTGAACGATTTCGCGGAAACCTTGCGCCAATACAACATAGAGAACCAAAACCTTGCCCGACTCATCTACCGTTTCTTCGAAGAGATAGACGCCATCTGGAAGGTACTCGGAAAGGACAGAACATGCAACACCGTACTTCGTGAACACAGAATTGCCGAAGGTATTATCAAAGAAGAGGAAGAAGAGGAAGAAGAAGAAGAGAAACACGAAGAAAAGGAAGTTTGGGCAACCCTTGTTGTCGATGACGCTTACGAAATTTCCCAACCCTACCCATACAAAATCCGCAACAAGGCGACAGGCAAGGTTCTTACCCCAGTCCTCAACAACTTGGGACACTTGAACCTTAACCTTCGGAATTACGGTTCAGTTTCCATGGGAAGGCTTGTCGGTATGCAATGGGTTCCAAATCCAGACAAGAAGTCGAGGGTCAGACACATTGACGGTGACAAGCTCAACAACCGTAAGGAGAACCTCGAGTGGTTCTAAGAGTAAAAAAATTTTATTTTAGGGGGAAACCCCAAGTAAATTTAGGTGTTTAGTTGGATAAGTATGTTAAATTAAGGGTAATTTGCAAAATTAGTTCCCGACCTTTGAATTGGACTCTTTCGTTATCCCAGTTGCGTAGGAGGTCGTCCCAGAGGAGTTGGTAGAATTGCCAATCCAAGGACGATTTGTCCTCCCAGGCATTGAGGATGTACTGCTCGTAGAGTTTCATGACCTCTGCCTTGCACCAGACACCCTCTCCCTTGGAACGTAAGGCTTCTTCGAAGTGCTCGAATGCGATTGGCTGCGTGACCATCCGAAATGACACTTTTTGTCCGTTTGGTCAATGTTCGTGTCTCGTGCCATAGTCGACGAAAATACAGACAAACAGGTTATATATGAGTTTGAGACCAAGAATGGTGTAACTCGACCTGTCCGATTCAAAGACTCCGAGGGCGACTATGAAATTAAACGGAAATTAGCTAGGAAGGAATATAAAAACGTTTTTACTTCATGCAATGTTTTATTTCTGTGCCGTCTTCAAGTATGCCCCAATATTTCCTTTTCGATATTACATGAACTTCGGAAAATACCTTATCTAGCTTAAAACAGCCCATCTTTTCACCGACCATTCCCATTTCAATGAGTTTGTTGTATCCTTCTTCGTTCGTCATGAGTGCGTCAATGTTCTCATAGTAAACCACAACTTTCGATTTGACTTCGGAGAAGAATTTGTTGTAGTTGTCAAGGACTGCTTTTGCGAACTGAGGGTAAGACCAATGTTCGACAATAGGTTTTAATGTGGTTACTAAGCCACTTTGCCCTTGAGTGAATTCGTACTTCAAAACAAAAGGAGAAAACCTTTCAACAAAGTTGTCGACCTTCTCATAATGTTTACTCTTCATCTCTTGAGGTTTCTTAATGGAATATCCCCATGTCGAATTCATAAGCAATTTGAGTGTCATTGCAAGTTTGGGGTTTGAAGCTTTCCTAATATCATACAGTTGTTGTATGACTTTTCCAACTGTATAGTTCCTTCCCGGGAACTCACCATCTTCGTTTGGAATTCCAGTCGGAATATATTGGACAAACCTCATGTATGCAGCGTTAAGGTCGACATAGTATATCTTTTCATCTGAGTCGAACTTGTCGCAACCAATTGGTCCAGTTTGTGGAAATTCAAGTGAGTCTCTTATCTTCTGAGAAACTTCTCCTGTTATCTCATAAACATCGTCGAAGCAACCTGTTTCATATAAAACCTTCTGACCTAACTCAGATGCTCTCCAATACAATTTGACGTCAATTGGATGTCTCAATGGAAGTTTGTTTATAGCATCTTGAAGTTCTTGCAACCTCATTGGAAGTTCTTCTGGTTCAGGTTGGTATCCGAACAATCCAACTCCTTGTGGAATTGTGTACTTCTTTTGTACTAGAACTTTGTCTGGAACAACTTTTGGTCTTGCTAACAATGAAAAGTTTGTTTCGTCTTTTGGTACAAAAGTTTCTGTCAGCTTGTCATCTGGAATTGGTTCCAACAAACCTTTCTCGAAAAGAATGTTTACAGCTCTGACAATGTTGCACTTGCCTTTTCCGAACAATGGGTTTGTAAGACTTTCGTTCAACATGAAGTGGTTGTGGACAATTACAATCTTCAACCATGGTAAGTCTTTGTCAACAACATAGTCGTCATGTGAAGAACCTTTAGCTGTAGGTATGCTGACTCGGATATTGACATTTGCCAACGGTGCAATTTTTGCCAATTGACCTCTGAGAATGTACCTTGTCTTCACACATGACTCAAGATACTTCATCTTCTCTTCTGTAACAAGACCAGAGTTCCTGAGACATGTAAGAATGCAAGGTTCATTGACAATTGTTTCAATTGAATTGTAAATTCCATACCTTGTCAAGTCAATGTCAGACTTATTTATGAAGGGGAAGTATCCAGCATGTTGTCTGACTGCTTGAGGGTTAGGTTGGTACCATTCGAACTTGACACTTGCAATTCCTTCAATTGCATTCAAAATGTCTGAGTCGGAGTCAACCATTTGTTCTCTCTTTGTAGTCTTGAAAGCGTCAAGAAGCATTGCAGCTGTTGTGACATTGCCATGTGCATAGTAAATGTGACCATCCAAATCTGTTATGGTCAATCTGAGATTGTATCCTTTCTTATTTCCATCTTGTATGGCAGCAAGTACACCCATGAAGCCTTCTTTGTTCTTTCCTTCGTCAAAGTTTACTGTAAAGGTTCGACCAGAAGTAATTTGACTTCTAACTTCACGGTACTTCTCATATGCATATCTTGTTCTTTCCATGGGAGCATGTGCGTCTTCACCTTTTCCTTTTTTCCTTCTCAAAGGATGCAATTGTTCGTCATGTTTCCAGTAGAATCTGGCAAAGCCGTCGTGTCCTTCAACTTGAGGTTCACTAACATCGAAAGGCATGTCCATAAGACGTTCTTCTTCTAACCTCTCTAGTCTGTTTGGATAATTGCACGTGCTGTTTCCAAATCCATTTCGTAGCGAAGACCAGACAATTTGTCATAGACTTTTATGGGTCTTCCCTTCCTATATTTAAAATTCTTCGAAACTCTCCAACCATATCTTTGTAACTCTGCTTTTATTCTAGCAGACTTTCTATCCATTCTATATGGGGGCATTTTTATAAAAATAAAAAAAATATGTTTTTTTTTCTTTACTTTACATAACCGCCTGCTGCCATAAGTCTTTGACGCCAACCCATACCAGCTAATGAAGGTTGACTTGGTTTAGTTTCCAAACTAAACTTTGGTTTTGGTTTATCTTCAGTTTTTGGTTTTTCTTCTTCTATCGGTTTTTCGTCATTTTTCGGTTTCTCTGACTTTACTTCACTTGCAGGAACAGTTGTGTCGTCAACATCTTCATAAATATCATATGCCATTTGTTTTTGTTTTCCTTTCAACTTTTTGTGTTTGTTGTAAAGTTTAGAATATTTCGACTCTAAGTCAATGAGATGTTCTATAATGAACTGTTGGTCAGTGAAGTAAACTTTTCCATCTGTTGTCTCGAAAGCTCCTTCAGACTTCAATATTTTATTTGTGAGAGTCTGTTTCTTTTTTGAGATACTTGCCGTTCCATTTTTATGAAAAGTGACTTTGTAGTTAGGGTTTGTATTTCCAGACCTGGCACTTTCTATTATTGAATTTTTCTCTTCATCTGTAAGTTCTTTGACAGGTTTTGACAATGGTTCTGAACTTTTTGTTTGTGGTGTCAAATCTACCGTTTCAACTTCTTCGGTCATTTCATCTCAGTAAAAAATTTTAGTTTGGTTTGTTTTCAACTGGTTGTTGTTGTTTTTTAAGTCGGTCTAAAACTTCCTGAGGTATAGGAAGAACTTGACAAACACGTGGTTGTAACTGCTGGAAGCCGACAAATCCATCTTGAACCCATTTGTCTCAATGCTGTATTGTTCATTTCATCTCAGTAAAAAACTTTACATTCCCCACGTTTGAGGCGGTTGAGGTTGGTTATTGTTTACCCATTGTTGTGCATGGTTATATCCTCTGTTAAAGAATCTTTCACCTTGGTCCATATAGTGTCCTGCTTGGTTATAGTAGTCATTTGCTTTGTTATAATAGTTTCCTGCTTGTCTTCCTACATTGTCCATCCATCCTTGAACTTTTCCTCTTGTTTCAGGATTTGGAATAAGATTTGTTGCATCTCGTGCTACATCCCAACCTTTCTGTACAGTTTGTATAATAGGTTGTGCTTTCTCTTTAAGTATACCTAATGTACTCAAAATCTTCCTTCCAACTCCAAATACACCTCTGGCTATTGTTCCCACTGCGGGCAAAAATCTGGATGCAACTCCTGCTAATGCGCCAAATAAACCCATTTCTTATAGGATAAAAATGACGAATCCAAACAAGGACCTCTATGTTTCTAAAGCGACAAAGAAAGCACTCATGGTAAAAATCTTTAGTTCAACACCAAATGCTTGGTTTATGGATATCTTGGAAAACATTCCGAGGTATAGAGAAGATGGACCACCATACTGGTTAATATTTGTCGGTCAAAACACAAGATACTGTGAAGCCATACCATTATGGTCCAAAAATATTTTAGATGTGAAAACTGCTTTGACAATATTCGTTGACAAATACCATCCAACAAAACTGACATCTGACTGTGAAAGTTCTTTCAAATCAGATGATGTAAAAAACTATCTGCGTTCAAAAAATGTAAACCAATATTTCATTGTCGACCAAAACCATTCTGCTCTTGGTGTCATTGACGGTTGTATAAAAATGTTAAGAGACTTAAACCAACCACAAGGTGGTGAAGCAAATGAAATGTCATATGACGACAAATATAGACACTTCTCCATGGCAAAGATGAGACAAGTTTTAAATATTTACAATAGCCGTAAACAAAAAGGTTTGGGAAACCACTCCCCCGAAGAAATGAAAAACAACCCTGACTTAGAGAAAGACTATATATTTAATAATTTAGTCAAAAGAGACAAACAAGAAAGAATGCCGGGCTTCAAACTTCAGAAAGGTGACAAAGTAAAAATAGAAATACCTAAACGCGACCCATATGAAAATACTATTGACTATGACAACAATGGGAACCCGACAGGTACTCACATTCGTGTTCGTAAAAATAGAAGAAAGTATACAAGAGAATATTATGAAGTTTTAGGCAAACATGGCAAAATGTACAGACTGCAAGCAGAAGATAAAACTACTATTGTCAGACCTCGTTTCAAACTTGTCAAAGTTCAAGGTGGTATACTTTCAAAGACAGTTCCTAACAAATATAAGACAACTCCTGACGAATATGCTAAAGAAGTTGAAAATGACGACTAAGCAATTCTATACCATGCGTAAACTGTCATGTAAGGTGGCATGTAGTCTTTACCCAAGCCTGTTGGATTTGTTGTGAAAGTATGGACATGATTTCCTCCTGGTTCAGTTGGTCGAAAAGTCTTTTTTGCTGAATGGTTATAATCTGGAGATAAAACGTCATTGCCAGCATAATATTCTGAGTTGTATAATGGGTGGTCTCTTAATGAGTGGCTATGGTCGCCAGAAAAGTTTGTAGTTCCTGTATGAGTGTGCGGTGGAAGGTTTGCTTCTTTAATTTTCTTCGAACCACCTGTTTCCTTTGAAGAGTTTGCACAATACAAAAACCTGTCGACTATTTGTTCCCATGCACCAACACCAAACATTACTTGAGGACCTCTTGCTTCCATAGATGTATAAATAGAACCTACTGGGTTCATTAAATCAAACATATGAGACATTATAGGATTGTCTCTTTTGAACTTAAAATATAGTGCAACTATTTCAGGTTTCTTCTGGTTTGTGTAAGAATATTTTTTATAATATAATCTTATGTTTTCAGGGTAGGTAAAATCTTGACTATAATATTTATTTCTGTCATCTATATAATAATATACTATTCTCGTTTTTTCTATTGCATTATATCTTTTATATCTATAATAATCTAAATATAATGTTTGCTTTTGTTCATCTGCATGTAGTGTTCCTTCGTCATCTACATAGTCATAATAATATGGTGCTGGAGCTGGGTCAGGCAATGTCATATCTGCCATTTCATAAACTCGGAAATATTTCTTTTGTTCGTCTCCATATAAGTTTAAGTAGCAGTTGTTGTCTAATGGAACTTTAACTTGTGTACCATCATTCTTTATATAGCTTACATACATTTCATTGTTATTTTTCGGAATGAGTTTATACCGTATACCATTTTTTAAGGAATGTACAAACTGCCATCTAAAATATTTATTTTCTTCATTGAAAGAAAAGTCACCAACAATAGTTTCAATATTTTTTGTTGTTCCTATCAAACTTTGGTATATTTCATTGACATATGTTTTATCTGCTTTCTTCTCTAACTCATCGTTAACATAAGTTTTATCTGCTTTAAGGTCTAAACATCCTGAAACCCATCCTGTATCAGCTTTAGTTTTTAAAATCTTCGATGTCCATCCATGATACCATTCAACCCTTTCTATAATTTCATTATCTTTTTCATCCACATATTCCTTATCTGCCTTCTTCACTAACACACTAGCCATAAGTCCCTTATCTACCTTATTTTCAAGGCTAACGTTTAAGTCTGTTATTTCAGATATAGAATGTGTATGAGTCTTTTTAGAATATTCGTTTTCAGCTCTCGTCACTTCACTTGACATTTTATTGTCAACATATGTTTTGTCTGCTAGTTCAGGATGAGTATGTTCTTTTGTTGCATAAGCATTGTTAGCTCTTTCTTCTTCTTTTGCTATTGCATCGTCTACATATTCTTTGTCAGCTTTGTTGTCAACATCTGCTTTCAAAAGAAGTTCATTTATAGGTTTCTCGTTTAAAGTTCCTTTTGTTGGATTTATACAGACAGTATTGTTCTTCTTGTCTTGAAATAGAAACTCATCTGTCATTGGGTTTAATGTCAGTTTTAAGTTTCCTTCTTTCAATGACTCAGATATCTTAGAATAGTTTGAAAAGTTTGTTGTGTTCTTATTTAGAGCTTGCATAATGAGTTGTCGGTTGTGTTGTATTTCTCTCATGGAAGCAATATCTTTCGACATTTTTATTCTAGATAAAATATGCTTCCAATAGAAAAAGAAAATTCAAGAGTTGCTACAACTAAACCATTAGATGAACTTTTTACTAATGTCGGTCAAAAGTTTGAGACAGAGACCGTAAAGCATGAAGGCTATCGTTTTGACTACCCATTAAGATGGCTAAGAGACCCATCTGTCACAAAAGCTATTGGCTTTCGTAGAATGAAGTTCATTTCAGAAGCCATACATGGTTTCCCATTTACGGTCGGTTTTGAAGTTCGATACTATAACAAAGAAAAACGTATGTATGAGAAATTTGAACAGGGAAAACTTTTACAAGTTAGTTTGCTTGTAAACTTAGAAACAACTCTTCAAGCTTTTCAAGAAAAAATAAACGATATCTATATCGAATATGCAAAACAGTATAACATTGACGAAGGAGAATACCATCTCGATATTATTTATGACAGGAAAAATGCAACTGTTAAAATCAATAGAATAGAAGACCTTGGAGAAAACGTTTATATTTCTACAAAATATAACAACTTGGCATGGTATAGATTTATGAGGATGTTAAATCAGCCTGCAGCATATCCAGTACACCCAGACTTTTATGAAGTCGAAAACCCTAATGGAACATATGAAAATGTTTTCGACCCAGCTGCTATTATTGTTCATGCTTCATTTTCTGGCGCCCAAAACTCTTTCTTATGCTTGGCAAATGACTTTTACGAAAAACCTACAAAGTTATACGAACCACCAAGTGGAAGTATTTCAGACTTTCAAGTATGGTTTACTACAGATGGAAGAAAAAGAATAATTCCATTATACCATGCGTTTTACTTAGAACTTAGTTTCATATACAACTACTATCGAACGGTAAAAATATAATTTTTTAATACGGTTGAGGTGTTGGATTTGGTTGCCAACTAGACTGTGGTGCAGGTTCAGGCTGTTGTATAACAGGAGCTTGCTCTTCTGGTTCAGGGTCTTTAGGTATAATACCAACAAACTGACCTACTCTTTTACCAATATTTTTGACACCGTTCCAAATTCCTCTTCCGACGGTTTTTATTCCATTCCATATACCTCTTCCAACTTCTGAAGAAGTTTCCAATACTTACTGAAGAAACCCATTTTACTATATGTAAAAATCTAATGTCCGCCTAGTCTTTGCGTTTCCTGTTGAGTTCCATAGCATTCTTTAACTGGAGCTCATACATTCTGTTTCTCCTCTGGTAGAAAACATATTCTGGGTCAACTCCTGTGTTCGCGTCATCTGCATAAAGTTGTTTATATCCCACTTCAGGGTTTGTATAAAACTCTTTCCATCTCATATTTGCATACCA